ATAAATTAAATAAATTAAATAAATTAAATAAATTAAATAAATTAAATAAATTAAATAAATTAAATAAATTAAATAAATTAAATAAATTAAATAAATTAAATAAATTAAATAAATTAAATAAATTAAATAAATTAAATAAATTAAATAAATTAAATAAATTAAATAAATTAAATAAATTAAATAAATTAAATAAATTAAATAAATTAAATAAATTAAATAAATTAAATAAATTAAATAAATTAAATAAATTAAATAAATTAAATAAATTAAATAAATTAAATAAATTAAATAAATTAAATAAATTAAATAAATTAAATAAATTAAATAAATTAAATAAATTAAATAAATTAAATAAATTAAATAAATTAAATAAATTAAATAAATTAAATAAATTAAATAAATTAAATAAATTAAATAAATTAAATAAATTAAATAAATTAAATAAATTAAATAAATTAAATAAATTAAATAAATTAAATAAATTAAATAAATTAAATAAATTAAATAAATTAAATAAATTAAATAAATTAAATAAATTAAATAAATTAAATAAATTAAATAAATTAAATAAATTAAATAAATTAAATAAATTAAATAAATTAAATAAATTAAATAAATTAAATAAATTAAATAAATTAAATAAATTAAATAAATTAAATAAATTAAATAAATTAAATAAATTAAATAAATTAAATAAATTAAATAAATTAAATAAATTAAATAAATTAAATAAATTAAATAAATTAAATAAATTAAATAAATTAAATAAATTAAATAAATTAAATAAATTAAATAAATTAAATAAATTAAATAAATTAAATAAATTAAATAAATTAAATAAATTAAATAAATTAAATAAATTAAATAAATTAAATAAATTAAATAAATTAAATAAATTAAATAAATTAAATAAATTAAATAAATTAAATAAATTAAATAAATTAAATAAATTAAATAAATTAAATAAATTAAATAAATTAAATAAATTAAATAAATTAAATAAATTAAATAAATTAAATAAATTAAATAAATTAAATAAATTAAATAAATTAAATAAATTAAATAAATTAAATAAATTAAATAAATTAAATAAATTAAATAAATTAAATAAATTAAATAAATTAAATAAATTAAATAAATTAAATAAATTAAATAAATTAAATAAATTAAATAAATTAAATAAATTAAATAAATTAAATAAATTAAATAAATTAAATAAATTAAATAAATTAAATAAATTAAATAAATTAAATAAATTAAATAAATTAAATAAATTAAATAAATTAAATAAATTAAATAAATTAAATAAATTAAATAAATTAAATAAATTAAATAAATTAAATAAATTAAATAAATTAAATAAATTAAATAAATTAAATAAATTAAATAAATTAAAATAAATTAAATAAATTAAATAAATTAAATAAATTAAATAAATTAAATAAATTAAATAAATTAAATAAATTAAATAAATTAAATAAATTAAATAAATTAAATAAATTAAATAAATTAAATAAATTAAATAAATTAAATAAATTAAATAAATTAAATAAATTAAATAAATTAAATAAATTAAATAAATTAAATAAATTAAATAAATTAAATAAATTAAATAAATTAAATAAATTAAATAAATTAAATAAATTAAATAAATTAAATAAATTAAATAAATTAAATAAATTAAATAAATTAAATAAATTAAATAAATTAAATAAATTAAATAAATTAAATAAATTAAATAAATTAAATAAATTAAATAAATTAAATAAATTAAATAAATTAAATAAATTAAATAAATTAAATAAATTAAATAAATTAAATAAATTAAATAAATTAAATAAATTAAATAAATTAAATAAATTAAATAAATTAAATAAATTAAATAAATTAAATAAATTAAATAAATTAAATAAATTAAATAAATTAAATAAATTAAATAAATTAAATAAATTAAATAAATTAAATAAATTAAATAAATTAAATAAATTAAATAAATTAAATAAATTAAATAAATTAAATAAATTAAATAAATTAAATAAATTAAATAAATTAAATAAATTAAATAAATTAAATAAATTAAATAAATTAAATAAATTAAATAAATTAAATAAATTAAATAAATTAAATAAATTAAATAAATTAAATAAATTAAATAAATTAAATAAATTAAATAAATTAAATAAATTAAATAAATTAAATAAATTAAATAAATTAAATAAATTAAATAAATTAAATAAATTAAATAAATTAAATTAATAAAATCAATAAAATTAATAAAATTAATAAAATTAATAAAATTAATAAAATTAATAAAATTAATAAAATTAATAAAATTAATAAAATTAATAAAATTAATAAAATTAATAAAATTAATAAAATTAATAAAATTAATAAAATTAATAAAATTAATAAAATTAATAAAATTAATAAAATTAATAAAATTAATAAAATTAATAACATTAATAACATTAATAAAATTAATAAAATTTTATTTTAATAAAATTTAATTTTATTAATAACATTAATAAAATTAATAAAATTAATAAAATTAATAACATTAATAAAATTAATAAAATTAATAAAAATTAATAAAATTAATAAAATTAATAAAATTAATAAAATTAATAAAATTAATAAAATTAATAAAATTAATAAAATTAATAAAATAAATAATAATTAATAGCATTAATTTTAATAAATGTTTATAAATTGAATTTCTGATGTTTTTAACTATGATTTCCGATGGCGTTCCTTGACTTTTACCACTAACCATACAACATGTTGTATGTTGTATGGTTAGTTTTGGAACTAAGCTAAGCCAAGAATATAGGTGAGCAGTCAAGAGATGACGGCGGACAAAATAAGTAAATTTAATATAAATAAAAATTAATAAAATATGACCAGTGCGTTATTGAAAAAACTGTGAGCCTTAAATGGTAACGTAACAGGTGATTAAACTTTTCGACGTCGCACAGTGTTTGGGCTTGCACGGGAGCCGCGACCATAAATACTTCTAGAGGGGCTATCGCTTTGAAACTTGTACCAAAAATCTAGAAAAATGTTATAAATATATAGGACAAGAATTGGCCAAATCGTAACATTATCCTATAGCTTTCATAGGAACAATTGGGAAAAAAATGGAAAAAAATAACTTTTTTGTTTTTTACATTTTATTTAGTTCTTTAAGATTTAGTAATAGTTTAATATTCCCGAGTTTCTGTTTTAATATTATTGAAATCGGACAACTATATAATATATACATAGAACAGAACGCAATCGTGAAAATTGGCACTTCCAAGCTATTATTTTAAAGAAAAGAATATAAACACAAAACATAACACAAAAATAACAACAAACGACTATACAAACCAACTAACGGCAACAAACTACAACCCACAGCAGAGCCACTTCTTTTTTTTTTAATTGAGGTTAGATTACCTTTTCGTATTATTGCAAGCCGTTTGGGACCTTTCGGCATTTGAATTAAACATTCTTATATTCTTAAAATGCTTAAGATTTGTTTGTGCCGAAGAGTGCCATCATAACTAAAACTCTAACCAAACATAGAAAATACAAACCAAAAAGCTCCCAATTAAGTACTAAATACAATATTGATTTACACAAAACACAACACATACTGCATATAAATTTTGTTATAAAATGGAAGTTAATACATTTATGTAAAATATTAGGCATTTTCATTGCACTAAAACTTGTTTTTAATAAGCTAAAAAAAATATTAAGGAAAGCTTTTCTTGCACGTTGCTTACGCTGAAATACCCAATGAATCATGCTCTCTCTTTCGATGCTATTCTTTAAGAGGACAGATAGAGCAAAACAAAAAGATGAATACAATTATTTAGCTATACCAATTATAAATAAATATTGTTACACTTAAGGGCGTAATTTTGACTTCGATTTTTTTTATTTATGGCCCATGGAATCGACCACTGTGCGTTGTTCAGAGTTGGATCGCTATCTAATAAAATGCTTATATTCTGAGTAATTTCCCAAAAATTCTGTCTGTTGTGCATGTCTGTAGTATTTAGGGTTCGGCTAAGTAATGGTCTTTGGTTCGGTGCACTAGTCGACATATAAAGAGATTTTTGCCCACACATATGTATATCCTCAAGCTCAGATCGAGAGGACAATACCTTACCAATTAACTTAGTCTATGTACATAATTGTTTAAAATGCCTAATCTGCATTCTAATTTACTGACTCGAACTGCTCCGGCTTGTTGTTGCATAAAATCTCCCACGCCATCTATATCACCCTTGACACTTTCAAGTCGCGAGAGTAAGATGTTGACGCGATTATTGCCATAATCGACACAATTTTGCTGCCGATTTTAATGTCGTCTCGACGGCATGCTTAGACTGTACGTAATAACGTAACTAAAGTAAATCCATAATTTGGTGACCTAATTAAGATAATTCACAATCAAAGGAACGGTAGTCTAGTGTTGCAATAGTTTTAGTGTTTAGTGTTGCGATAGGTTATGTGTTGCAAAACTTGTCTTATATGTATAAGGCAAATATTTTTTAATCCTACACGTTGAATAGTGTAGAGCGATAATTAATCCAACTGAAACTTACGAAACTTGAGCTTACCGCAATCAAGATGCTGCAACGGTTTTTTAAGCTTTAATCGCGCTGACCGGTAAACTGTACGTTACCGGCGTATGTATGTACAACTATCTGGGCACGTTCCTTTGTATGTATTGGCACGGAAGAACGGCACGGGCAACCAAAAACAAAAAAAGAGATATATGTCTGGGGGCGCCAAAAAATGTGTGCTCCAAATGGCAGACTGCGAATTTTACCTGTTCCTAGAAAGAACGCACTCGGCTTGTTTCCAGAATTATTGTTACTGATTTTTTCGCCACTTTGGCGTACAGCGAGCGACTAAAACGAATGGTGAGGAGAGAGAGAACAGTTTTGACGGTACAATTCAAATTTCTACAAAAGCGTCGTTTAGTTAAGTCAAAAGCATAGTAATTACTTAGAGCTCATGCAACATGGATCCGTTGGTGGTGATTTTATTTAAAAGGTCTAAATAGTTATTTCAAATTGAGTACCAGGTAATCTAAGTTATAAGTAAACAATACCCTTGCTTATGTTTCCATTTTACGTAAAAAGCTCTAATAAAATTTTTAGGCATCTTATTGGCTTAGCAAAGATTACTGCTCATTTAAATACTATTTAAAATCTGAAATGGGTTGAATTTTTAAACGCTGAATAACTCCCAAAAGCGAATGTGTAGGGAAAAATTTGTTGCATTTTAAACGTAGCGTAATCTCAAAAGCTATAGGGATTCCTAGCATTCACAAGCTCTTATAAAAGTGATTGATTTGATTGCTATATATATCGTCAATAGTGATAGGTCTTCTTGCGCACGATTTCCGGTGCTCATCGTCACTACGTGGACGGCCGTCCACAGTGATAGTATTCTATCTTTAATTGTGTTGCATTTTCAGTTGAAGCCGTCTGGAAAATACTGAAACAAACCGATCCGTCAGCAGGTCCTGCTATCGATAAGATTTGGTGGTGACACCGACTATTGATAGCGGGAGAGGATCTAGCTATTTAAATTTAGCCCGGTTCGCTCGTTAACTGGGTTAAAAGGCCTTGAATACGTTTGCAGACCCATCTTGAGAGAGCGGGAGGGAAAATGGCGAGCGACTTTGGTGTAGGTCAGGGTTTTGCTTTAGTTGCTGCAAGAAGTAGTAGGAGAACGGTCGGAAAAAAACCCAAAATTTAAGTTCGTGATTAGTGTTTGAATAACTCAAACCGCCGGGGACCCTAACTAAAGGGCCCCGGAAAGTTAAAAGATTTAGGAAGTGAACACTTACCAGGCGGACCTAACCTGGTCGTCGTCCACCAGCCGCCGCAACATTAGCCGCAACAGCATTGGCCTCAGCAGCATTGGCCACAGCAGCATCAGCAGCAGCAACATCAGCCGCAGCAGCATTAGCCGCAGCAGCATCAGCCGCAGCAGCATCAGCCGCAGCAGCATCAGCCGCAGCAGCATCAGCAGCATCAGCCGCAGCAGCAGCGATCAGTAGCAGCAGCAGCAGCCTCAAGCGCCAACAGCGACTGCCTCCAAGACGGCCAGATACGGAGATTCCCTCGGTGAGTCCGTTCCGGGAACGAATGCCCGCGCTGGCCACGTGGTCATCTCCAAGTCCACCGACGCACTGCCTCCGGCCACGCTGCGCTATCCTCCGGACCAACTGGCTCCGTGTTTTTCCATTCGGGCTGCAGTTTCAACCACATCCGACGTTGAACTCTGCAATAAATAAGTTTTGGTTATTGTTTTGTGATATCATGCAGTCAAGATTGTCAAGTACTTACTGTGAAATCTAATCTAAAATTAGAGGCTTAAGCCCGAACCCTAGCCGCGCGTCCAACTACATCTAAATTGGGTCGCGAAATTTAATAACTTGTGGGATTTGTTCAGCGTACTTACCTTATAAGCACGTCCCTTCTTTTCCCTTGGAGCTCCTCAGGATTAGGCGACCCGGTTGGCAAACGCCTCCAATTTAGTGCCGTGCGGCGACTTTGCCTGACACTTGGAACTTTAAGCGTCTAAAAATTTACCTTTCGGTTGTTGCCGCTTTGACCGCTTCTCATCTGGGCGACGGTCTGAGATCGGCCTTAAGAGTTTCTAACGAAAAGAATAGATTATCAGTAGGAATCAATAATGAATGTATTTACTTATTAATCTTGCCAAGAATTAAATGTGAAGGAGCTACCGAGATGGTTGTGTGAATTACCTTGGGCGGGGAGATGAGCCGATCCTAATCCACCAGGAATAGACTCCGGTCTGCCGGAGATGGGGTGTGCCTCCCACATCTTTCTTGGGGCACCCAAGGTTGGGTGGGTGCGTCGTGGCAAGGACATCGAAGCCACCAATTTTGTCGAATTGTCTTAGTTTGCTTGATGTACATATAACTTTGTTTTGTTTTTATTTGTGGTAGAGATGGTAAATCGACGTGAGACGTCCGATGAGTCGGAATCGATTGTTCGGACTGCAGGGCATAGGGGGTACTCCGCCCTGGGACTCCGTGGCTAGCCGGCGCTGCCCTCCGGGAATGATGCAGTTCCGTAACAATATGGCGCCCAAATTAACAAATAAAATATGTGATAGCCGAGTCGACGGCGTCTCGCATATTTATTATCTCCAGCCAGCCCACGAACGGTGGCTTGCATGACACACATGCAATTGCACCGGGATGCGGACTGGTGGAGAAAAGTTGTTTAAATTTTGTAGGAAGAAAGGGAGGCGTGTCCACTAGAAGTAGGACAATTGCTCCCGAGGCACAGTTCACAGGGATTAGCTGTGATTTGGCGGTGACATCCTCTTCGAAGGAAATCGAAGGATTCGCATCCCAGGTCGTCCGTGCAATAAGCACGAAAGGTTAAACCAAAAACGGTGATAAAACTGTGATATAGGTATTAGGGACATATTTTTTTTTTGTTAACATAATTTTAATGAATGTCTTGTCTTGGGGTTACAGTGTAGTTGTTTGTTTTGTGCAGATCCTTGGGTTTTCTGGGTATTTGCGTTTTCATATCATATCGGTTTAAAACTTAAATGTGTGGTCGTGACCCGTGACGTCGTCACGCGCTGCTCGGCCACCGCGACTTGAATGAAAAACGCAAAGTCCAAAAGGAAATCCGATGCGATCCTGCAAACAGCCGAAGTCCTTAACTGGCGACATTCAGCACAGCTGAAAGTTAGGCCAGTTGACGAGCGGTTTGTTTAGTGAGAATTCGGACGAAATTGTAGACGCAAGACGACTGGCGCGGAGTCTACCGGCTGGGGATCGGCTCCATCTCCCCTTATTGAGGCTGGAAAAAAAAAATTTAAATAGAGAAAGAAATTTAGTCGAGGGACTTGTTTTTTGATAAGAGCTAATATTTGGTGTGAATTTGTTTAGCCTTAGGTATTTGTGGGTCTTTAATATGTTTTCTTATTTATTTCTTATCTGTCCATGGTTTATTGTTTCTATTTATTTATTATTATTATTTATTGGCCTGGTAATATAAGTATTCGTATTATTTAGGTGCATATTATTTAGTGGTGTTTATTTATTGTTTATTATTATTTACTATCATTCAGTATAATTTATTTATTTATACATAATTTGGGCTTTTGGTGGCCACGTTGAATTCGGGGTTTCAGAAGTCGTGTTAGGGGTTATCAAAATTCAGGATGTCAAAGCGACAAGGCAGCAAGCATGATCACCTGCTTCGGTCGAAAGGTTTTCCAGGCGAGGACGACGAAAAGATGTGGTCCACGGATGTGGAGGGCGCTACCGAGGCTGGCTTGCCGCGCATATCGGAAGGGTTGCCCAGGACTCCGCTTGCCCGTTTGCGCCAGGGACTGCAACAAGAGCCAAAGTGTTCAAGGATCGACCCTATCCGATGTCTCCCGTGAAGCAGAAAGTGGTCGAGGACGAGGTCGACAAGATGCTAGCGCTCGGAGTCATCGAGGAGAGCAAAAGCCCCTGGAGTAACCGCACCACCGTGGTATCAAGATCTGGAAAACACCGGTTCTGCTTAGACGCACGTAAGCTTAATGATGTGACCATCAAAGATGCTTACCCGTTGCCCAGCATAGACGGCATCCTGTCCAGAATTGACCAAACATACTACATTTCCAGCGTGGATTTGAAGTTCGCTTTTTGGCAGATTGAGTTGGACACGAGCAGCAAGGAATGCACAGCCTTTACGGTTCCAGGTCGGCCTCTTTACCAGTTCCGTGTGATGCATTTCGGACTCTGCAACGCATCACAGAGGCTGGTGAGACTCATGGCCGGGTAATTCCCGCTGAACTCCGCTCGAATGTGTTCGTCTACTTGGATGATCTGCTAATACTAGCGCCTGACATAAGAACGCACTTGAAGTATCTTCGCCGAGTCGCTGAATGCCTGAAGGAAGCAGGGTTAACCATTGGGCTGAGCAAATCGAAGTTTTGCTTCAAGTCTTTGACCTACCTCGGCTTCATAGTGGGTGGAGGACGTCTGCGAATGGATCCAGGGCGTGTAGCAGCTATTAGGCGGATGCCTGAGCCAAGGACCATCAAGGAAGTGCGAGCCTTTCTTGGGACCGCTGGTTGGTACCGTCGGTTCATAAAGAACTTCGCAACTTTGGCTGCCCCGCTCACGGAATCCTTGAAGAAGACGGGAAATAAGAAGTTTTCCTTGAGTCCAGAAGCACAGCTGGCAGTAGAGTCCCTGAAGATGGCCCTAACTACTGCGCCAGTGCTGGTACATGCGGACTTCAAGCGGCACTTTTTCATCTAGTGCGATGCATCCCAGATCGGAGTCGGTGCAGTGTTGTTCCAGCGGGATGAAGATAGCCAGGAACAACCAATAGCGTTCTTCTCGGCCAAGATGAATCGTCACCAAGTCCATTACACCGTCACTGAAAAAGAATGCCTCGCAGCCCTGCTGGCCATTCGAAAGTTCCGGCCGTATGTGGAAGGAATGCCGTTCACGTGCATCACCGATCATGCCAGCTTGAAGTGGCTCATGTCCATGAAAGATCTTTCGGGTCGGCTGACATCGAACACAGGAAAGGAAGCGAGAACGTTGTGGCAGATACCCTTTCGCGTTGTGTTGAAGAGCTAACGGTGGACCCGTCAGAGTTGCTCGGCTTCGAGACCACTGAGTTTGCTGGAGAAGAGTACACGGAGTTGTTACAAGAGGTGGAAAAAAACTTGGCCAACCTACCTGACATGAGGATAGTGGATGGTCTCATCTTCAAGAGAGTCTCTTCGGCAAATCTGGATGACGAGGTGGAAGGCTTCGAATGGAAGTTGTGGATTCCCCAGAGTCTGACCCACAGCATAATTGAGCGTGCACATTCGGATCCAACGGCAGCTCATGGCGGAATGGGAAAAACTCTGGAAAATCTACGGCGGCAGTTTTACTGGCCTGGCATGGCACTGCAAGTCCGGGAGTCCATACGCTGGTGTGAAGTGTGCAAGGAGAATTTCCGGATGCAAGTTGGTATCGGTGAGAGAGTCCAGACTGAGCAGCCATTTCAGAAGCTGTACATCGATTTCCTGGGGAAGTACCCGAGGTCGAAGAAGGGACAGGCCTACATCTTCATTGTGGTGGATCACTTCTCCAAATACACATTTTGGAAAGCCATGCAAGAGGCATCGGCCTCCAATGTAGTGGAGTTCCTCATTCACGAGGTTTTCTACAAGTTTGGGGTTCCAGAAATTGTGCATTCGGACAACGGCCGCCAGTTTACGTCCAAGATCTTCGAGGAGGCGATGGAAAGCTTTGGCATCACGCACATCAAAACGCCAGTCCACTCTCCGCAAAGCAACGCTGCGGAAAGGGTAAACCAAAGCGTGTTGGCGGCAATCCGAAGCTACTTAGAAGAAGATCATCGAGAATGGGACGCGTATCTGCCGGAGATTGAGGTGGCCCTCCGCAACGCGGTCCATTCAGCAACTGGAGAAGCTCCGTTCTTCACCGTATTCGGACGACACATGTTCCTGAACGGAGCCAGCTACAAGTTGGCAAGGAAGTTGAAGTCTCTGTGTGATCACGAAATGTCTGGGATGAGAACAGCTGATAAACTCCAACTGATCCAGGACAAGGTGCAGAAGAACCTCGAAGATGCGTACGATCGGAGTCGCCTGCGGTACGATAAAAGGGCTCGTACTTTCCTGGCGAAGCCAGGTCAGGAAGTGTATCGCCGCAACTTTGCCCCCAGCGATTTCAAAAAGGCCTTCAATGCAAAGTTTGCTTTGCGGCAATAATGCGTACGAGCTTGAAGATCTTCAAGGACGACCGATCGGAGTGTACCATGCCAAGGACATTAGGTTGTGATCTGGAAAGAGGAATAACAAAGTACACGAGCTCAGAATCGGCATGTGTCTACTTCCCGTAAAGCGTGGGCCCCGCGTTGGACACCGTTGGAACTGCATCTTGGTATCGAGGCCGGCTGAATCCGAATAGTTCAAATTGAAATGCTCCCAAGTATTCCTGCACTTGTCTAAAACTCTGTGTTAGCGTCTCTCGGAATCCAGGGTGGTGTTGCATTTTCAGTTGAAGCCGTCTGAAAAATACTGAATCGAACCGATACGTCAGCAGGTCCCGCTATCGATAAGATTTGGTGGTGACACCGACTATTGATAGCGGGAGAGGATCTAGCTATTTAAATTTAGCCCGGTTCGCTCGTTAACTGGGTTAAATGGCCTTGAAAACGTTCGCTGACCCATCTTGTGAGAGCGGGAGGGAAAATGGCGAGCGACTTTGGTGTAGGTCAGGGTTTTGCTTTAGTTGCTGCAAGAAGTAGTAGGAGAACGGTCGGAAAAAAACCCAAAATTTAAGTTTGTGATTAGTGTTTGAATAACTCAAACCGCCGGGGACCCTAACTAAAGGGCCCCGGAAATTTAAAAGATTTGGGAACACTTACCAGGCGGACCTAACCTGGTCGTCGTCCACCAGCCGCCGCAGCATTAGCCGCAACAGCTCTGGCCTCAGCAGCATTGGCCGCAGCAGCATCAGCAGCAGCAACATCAGCCGCAGCAGCATTAGCCGCTGCTGCATCAGCCGCAGCAGCATCAGCCGCAGCAGCAGCGATCAGTAGCAGCAGCAGCAGCCTCAAGCGCCAGCAGCTACAGCGATTGCCTCCAAGACGGTCAGATACGGAGATTCCCTCGGTGAGTCCGTTCCGGGAACGAATGCCCGCGCTGGCCACGTGGTCATCTCCAAGTCCACCGACGCACTGCCTCCGGCCACGCTGCGCTATCCTCCGGACCAACTGGCTCCGTGCGGACTCGCGCTGGTTTTCGCCGCTAGCGTTTTTCCATTCGGGCTGCAGTTTCAACCACATCCGACGTTGAACTCTGCAATAAATAAGTTTTGGTTATTGTTTTGTGATATCATGCAGTCAAGATTGTCAAGTACTTACTGTGAAATCTAATCTAAAATTAGAGGCTCAAGCCCGAACCCTAGCCGCGCGTCCAACTACATCTAAATTGGGTCGCGAAATTTAATAACTTGTGGGATTTGTTTAGCGTACTTACCTTATAAGCACGTCCCTTCTTTTCCCTTGGAGCTCCTCAGGATTAGGCGACCCGGTTGGCAAACGCCTCCAATTTAGTGCCGTGCGGCGACTTTGCCTGACACTTGGAACTTTAAGCGTCTAAAAATTTACCTTTCGGTTGTTGCCGCTTTGACCGCTTCTCATCTGGGCGACGGTCTGAGATCGGCCTTAAGAGTTTCTAACGAAAAGAATAGATTATCAGTAGGAATCAATAATGAATGTATTTACTTATTAATCTTGCCAAGAATTAAATGTGAAGGAGCTACCGAGATGGTTGTGTGAATTACCTTGGGCGGGGAGATGAGCCGATCCTAATCCACCAGGAATAGAATCCGGTCTGCCGGAGATGGGGTGTGCCTCCCACATCTTTCTTGGGGCACCCAAGGTTGGGTGGGTGCGTCGTGGCAAGGACATCGAAGCCACCAATTTCGTCGCATTGTCTTAGTTTGCTTGATGTACATATAACTTTGTTTTGTTTTGATTTGTGGTAGAGATGGTAAATCGACGTGAGACGTCCGATGAGTCGGAATCGATTGTTCGGACTGCAGGGCATAGGGGGTACTCCGCCCTGGGACTCCGTGGCTAGCCGGCGCTGCCCTCCGGGAATGATGTAGTTCCGTAACAATTGACAATGGCCAATGGACTGGGTTTTATCCCAAAAAAAGCAAATGCTTAGTAATCGCATAGAAGCATCAATATCAATATACAAGCCATCTGCAAAGATTGATTTTAAACAATATACATAAAATTAGGTTACAAAGAGCATGATGTTTACTAAGTTTAACTTTCAGGAGCACTTTGTCATTAGGTAGTCATATTACGACGGTAAGTGGTCGAACATATGGACTCTTACGTCAACTGTCTGCATCCCAAGAATTTTTTCCGCATCGTGTACGGTTGCTTGTGACCAAAACTGTCCTTATTTCGCCTTTGTTTTATGGTGTTGAAGTTTTTGGTCATTGTGATTCGCAAGATATGCAAAAAATTACAGTCATTTTTAATGCTATCGTCGGATACTTGTTTAGTCGTAGTCGATCAAATCATGTAGCACATCTGAGTATAATGATTCTTGACCTAAGCTTGAGTCAATGTATTGACTTAAGGACTCTTATTTACATTCACAAAATTATATCAAAATTATATTAATTATATCAGTGATCAATCCACCACCCCTTGAACGGATGTTTCATAAGGCTTAGCCGTTTCAAAAATTATCCAGTAATAACCTTGCTCCACAGAGATCCATCCACCTTCCACCACCCTTTGAACAGAAGGTTAATAGGATTTGCCATTTCAAAAACTTCCCAGCTGTTAAAATTTAACGTTCTTATATATGCGATAGTTAGCCGATGTTTATGCGGTGCAGTCCTCTTTCCACGCAGTCCATCCCTGAAAAACCGTTGGGATTTTTGAAAGAAGCTGATCTTAACAGCTGTAGCTGATCAAAACAAAGATGGCTGACCAGTTGACTTTGTTTATGTTTAGACGAGCCGCAGCTTTTCAATTCAGCTTAAATCGGAGGCTGGATGTTCTCTGTGGAAATTGGAGTTTTACATTTGTTAAAACTAAAACCGTTTCCAACGGATGTATTCGAAAGAAAAAGACGTTAATGGTAGCAGTGTAATTGAAGTTTCACTTCTTCACCGACTTCTTATCGTTCTTCCAAAAAATACTGTAATGTGAATACGCTATAATTACGGTTTAAACTTATATCACATTAGGCTAATGCCCTCTTTCCACACAGTCCATTCGTTCGAAACGGTTGGAATTTTCAACAAATGTGAAACTAGGATTTCCACAGAGCACATCAACCATCACCCTTCCGATTTCAGCTGATCTGAACTGCTGTGGCTCGTCAAATCATAAACAAAGTCAACAGATCAACCATCTTTGCTTATGTTTTGATGAGCTACAGCTATTAAGATCAGCTGAAATCGGAAGGCGGAAGGTGGATGTGCTCTGTGGAAACCGGAGTTTTATTTTTTTCCAAAAATTCCAACGGGTTTTCAGGGATGAACTGCGTGGAAAGAGGGTTGCACCGCAGAAACATCGGCTAACTATCGCATATTAGTCCGTCAAAATCCGTCAAATTTGCAACATCAAAACTTTATGGAACATCCCTTCAACGATTGGTGGAAACTGGATGGAGCTCTGTGGAAATACACTATAAATGCGTTTTATCGGACCATTGGAATTAGGCTATTAACCGTTACTTTGAAGGGGGAAAACCCGTATTATACCATTTCCTCAGGCGATTTTAGAAAACAAAAGCAGGAAAATTGCTAAAATCTTCTCTTTGTGGTGATGTCAGATCAATGTTCAGAGTTCTGTCAGCAATCCCAGCTGTTTCGGTGTGATGTGGTCAGTGGTACTTAGATATACCGGCTCCTGGTAAACTATCGATAGTGACATCAACGATCTCTCAACTCTAGAGGATGACACGTTTTTAGCGTTCTTAGTGTAACAGAAATGGTTTCAATGTTTTTAGTAGACAAGGCAGGCAACCGGGATTTTAAAGACGAGCAAAAGCCCTTCATTGCATACAGCAGGGAGCTACAGTTGCCACAAAAGAAAAACGGCAGCATTGGTATAGACCAGCAGGCAGCCGAAGTGGGATTTTTTGGCTTAAGACTAAACTGTAAGAAGGTGCATAATATTGTAAGTCCTGTGACTGACACAGTTAAAAAGGCGTCACAGGTTAGCAGGCACTTAGACGCGCTAGCCGAAAAATTTGAAAAGGCAGTAGAAAACTCTGAAAAATCAAATTTCGTGAACCGGAAGAGGGTCTCATTGCTTGACAACAGTGATGGCACGGACTTGGTCATGCGACGGGAAAACGTAGAAAGCAGCATGAAAGGTTCGAGGCGGTCGCTGAATCCAGATCTAGACCAGAGCAACGCACTTCTTAATGTGGGTAAAAGGCAGCAACTTATCCTGAACAGAGTGAGTATCAAGCAAGATCGTAAACGAATGCGCTTTGTGTATGAGGACATTTTCGACATCGGAAGTTGCTCACAAGAGCGTGAAAAGTGCAAAGCTCAGGCTGTGTAAGGCAGCCCCTGCGAAAAGACTCAAAGCACAGACTAGCTTATTCCCTTTCTTCCGTTGAAATCTTGGCTGCTGCACTGTAGAATTTAGCAGTGGCCGTAAGGCCAGCGAAACAACAAAAGCCACAGAGCAAGTCTGTTGTCAGTCGCTAAGTCCAAGACAGATAAATTTTGCTCTGGCATACAGATAATTTACCAAAATAAGCTAAGACTATTGTCAAAACGCCAAGGAGCTGCTTAGGCCTGAGCTATTTGCCAAATTGACGACGTCTTTAGTAATCTGAGAACAGGACCGTCATTTTCAGCTCACTTGTTCTATTTCCGGATTCTAATCCTGTTTGTTTTTCAGACTGAACGCGCAAAAACCAAGGGGAGCGGATGGTTTCATTTGCCCGCCACAGAAGTCACCGAAAAAATGCGAAATGATCTTAAAATCATTCAGATGCGATCGGTTCTCAACCCCAGACAATTTTACAAGAAAAACGACTTAAAAATTCTGCCAAAGTATTTCCAAGTTGGAACTGTTAGGCAAACGGTTTCAAACACCTTTAAGGAAAAAAAGGCAACGAAAACCAAGTCTATAGTTGATGAGCTGTTGGAAGACGAAAGCTTTCAAAAGTTCAACAAGAAGAAATATAGTGAGGTGATTCAACGCACAGACGAATACAATCAACGAAAAATAATACAAAAAAAAAAAAAAAGGAAACTAAATATTTGATTATCCATTTAACTTCGTTTTAAAATACAAATCTGCCTGTTAAAATACGAACACTAATGAATTTTTACATACCCATGGGGTGCTGATCAAAAAAAAAAAAATTTCAAGTTATCGAACACTTTGCTTTCTTTGACGAGCGGCGGTATAGGATTTTACAACTTAATAACTTCACAAAAAATATCACGTTTTGAATTGTTTACCGAAATTTAAGACTGAAACACATATAAACCCCTATAAATAATCTTTGTAACGATTTGTGGGCGAGGCCAATGTTGGAAACAAACCTGCGCTGTGTAGTAATAACCAAAAACTGCGTGTCAAATCCAAAATGTCTAGCTTCCCAGATCGCGACGTTGAAACGAACATGGTTAGATAGATTGAGCTACAGATCCTGATCAATGATTCTACTTGTTACATTTTTGTGGACGAATACAATACAATCTTTTACTCTACGAGAAACGGGGATTATTATAACTTCGATGTTTTACAATACATGAACCCAAGACGTTTTTTTTCTTAATAAAGTCAAGGACGTGGTTTGTTATAAATTTCTATAACAACATTTTTAATAATTCATCATGCGACATGTGTTTCGGAGTGTAATTTTCTGTTTTGGTTTTTGCATTGGTTCTTATTATCTTGTAATGAATTCATGAATCGAAGAAGTTTGTTTTCTGGTTAAACTAATGGTCATGATTGGTTATAGGGTTTTATAATTTTGCGTGAATATATGTACTTCTAGTCAAAACAAAATGGTTTCACATTTCAAAACTACGGTTTAAATTTTATGTAAACACCCATTGGATGATCCGCAAAAATGAAAAAATTAATTTTTGATATTCTTCAAGATACAGTACTGGGAAAAAATACAAAACCGCGACATAGACATAGATCTAAAAAACCTCGGTGTGCTGTCGTGTACAGTCAAAGTACCCGTAAAATCGAACTGTTTGGCAATTTTCTTTTTCGAAAACTAAGGGTGATTGAGATATTTCAAGGACGGGGTAGTGCTCAGCACACCGAGTTTTAATAATCCTGCACACCAATGCATTTCTTTGGCTGTTGCTCAGTGTAATTAAATATTTTTAGAATGAAGGTTTAAATTTGATTTAAATTGGACTACTTATTTTTACAGCTCCCTTAAAACAATCGAAAACAAATTTAACTTTGCTGCTCTTAAAATGATTTATGTTATTGTTTTATATTTTAGAATAAAGGGTTACATTTTATTGAAGTCGGACAGCGATATCATTTAGCTCCTAAAGGAACGTGAAATATCGATTTTAGATTTCATCGATGTTTGTGAGTACACTTTTGAAAACCATCGAATATTAAACTATGTTTTTAAAATTAAAAAAATGTTTTTTTCAGTCCTAACCTTTATTTGAGATTATTCAAGAAATGGTTTTTATTTATAAAACACATGTTTATTGACTGTAACCGGCTTCAGGCAGCTTTGCTAAAAGTCCTCTTTTTATGTATGACGAGCTACAGCTGTTCAGATCAGCTGAAATCGGAAGGTGGAGATCGAAGTTTCACATTTGTTATAAATTAAAACCGTTTCCAACGGATGGATTGTGTGGAAAGATGGCATTAATCTTTGTTTATACAAGTTTTTGGTTGAGATTGGTTCCTATTTCTATATTTTGAATACAAATCGAGGAGTGTTTTTTTATGTTCTGGTGGAAAATTCTTTTTTATAGCCTGATTCCATTGCCGCATTAAAACGCATTTAGCCAAATGCGCATTTATTTACACAGGGAATCCCATAACGCTAAAAGCCGCATTTAAAATAAATGCGATTTTTAAATGCGATTAATAGCCTGATTCCATTGCCGCATTAGTGGACTTTTTAAATGTGCCTGATTCCATTGGCGCATTAGCATTTAGTAAATGCTACTCCGACATGTGAGTGGCACTAACAGCTGATCTGGGCTTGTATACTTTTGAATTTTGGCAAATCCAAAAGAGATCCAGAGATCCAGCAGTAATGCATTGTGGTACTGCGAGCAGAATTTGCAGCGTGCGCTCCAGGTTTCAGTCATTTTTATGCAAAATAGATTTTAAATTCAAAAGACATCAAAAATTGCGCCAACCTTGCTTATAGAAAACAGCTGTTGGTCATCATTGGTCAAATCTTCGTAAATTGGCTTAATCGCTTCGTAGACTTCAGTTCTCAAAGGTTTGTTGTGCACGTGCTCAGTTAATTTATCTTCGGCTTTCGCTCTTTGCCATGTACACCACGAGATCACACCGGTGGGACAACTGTCATGCACAGTGGGGCGTCTCATGTCCATACTCGTAACTCGGGAAAAAAAATTATTTTCAAAAATCACTTTGGGACGTTATTCTAGACATGTTTTATTACTATTTTAGCTAAAAAAAATGGATTTTTTCAAATTTCTACATAGGTGTTACCCCTTAAAGAGTTTAGTAAACTCACTCATGTTCATTAATTTTATTTAATTTCTTTTGGATTTGCCAAAATTCAAAAGTAGACAAACCCAGATCAGCTGTTTGTGCCACTCATATGTCGGAGTAGCATTAGCTAAATGCTAATGCGCCAATGGAATCAGGCACATTGAAAAAGTCCACTAATGCGGCAATGGAATCAGGCTATAAATACATATATGCGAAATTTGGAATTGAATTTCCAACTATATACCGTCTTCTTAGTTAAGGACTAGTATTGGTTCATCTTTTGTAACTATTTTTATTAGTCTATTTGCTTCGCTCGGGGTGGAACAACTATTATATTTTATCATTAGTTATATTGTGAAAAATTTGAATTTTTCGGCCTGATTTATATTGTGTGGTCTTGAAACGAACAAGTCACTAGTTGACAATTAAATATTTTAATTAAATCTATTCCGTCTTCTGGGTTTGGAAAATTTTTTGGTACAATGTGAATGTCATTTGGTAATATAGTTAACGGTTCTTAATTCGAGAAATGCTAATCACATTGAGCTAGATGAACCTTTTCCTATTCCAGTTATCTCTGTGTTTTCATTTTGATCAACATCCAGAAAATTGTTGGAATTTTTTAAAAATTTATATTTTTTTTTAGTGTTCATACATTTGAGAAAACACATTGAAAATTTCATATCGTTTCAGTTACACCTGAAGTTACACCCATATTTTAAAAGGCGTTTCAGAACAAGAACAAACTTTACCCAATTTTTACTTAAAATTATGTTTTTAAAGTCACCGACAATGCTTTAACGACATCTCTTTGAGTATTTAATTTCGGAGGATCCAGTCCAAAGATATAGAGGTCACCGCAAATGGCCTTTTTTGAGAAGAGAGTTTAGCTGTAGCTCCTTTCCAAATAAATATTTTGCCCATTACTTGGTCTTATGTGTACAAAGTATCAGATTTAATCATTTTCTTAGGAGAAATGATCAAAAACTTAATGACAGAATTGTTACCCCTTGCAACATATGGGGAATGACAAAAGGGACAATGGAGAATGACATATGTTATATTTTTCCATATAATTGTTTCCAAGTTCATTAATAAAAATTGGGGAATTGTGAAATTGAAGAATGGCTTGCACTAGTTTTGTAAATTGGGGATACCTTTCGAAAGTTTACTGAAATATCATTTCTGTGGTTATTATTAATAAAACATTTATCTGTCTTTTTTTTTTTTAATTAAAAGAATATTTATTATTTTTATTATTATGTTTTTTTTTCGTTTTTATTTTAAGTTCAGTCCCGATCGCTTGCTCTGCTTATATAACGCATTTTTATGATTTTATTAAGTAAAAAGCAGTTTAAACGTTTGAAGTTGGTAAAATTAATTGTAATAGTTCCAATTGCATCTGTGTGACAATTTACCTTAACACAACGCCAGCAGTGTTGTCTTTTGGCTGGATATCGTCCGTCCAAACCGAACCAACCCATACGATGTTTCTTTTTTGTAAGTTTCATTTACAATACGTACTTTAGCTTAAATATCTACGCGTTGCACACTATTAAATATTCGCTTCTGTTTTTTATTATATGGTAGTTTTGTTTATGGTTGTTAAGACATTTTTTGTTATTGCGCTCGAAAGCTGTTTTTTTATAATACATTTTGTTGTTATTAATTAGATTTTGTTCCTTTCTAGTTATAAGTTATTTAGAGCCGTTTTCTTATACAGCTCAAAATTCTATGGTATATATTATTGTTTTTTATAAATTTTTAACCTGCCTTTCAAAAAAATGTATATTTTCGGCCGTTAAAAATTACAATGTTATGTTATTATTATATTATATTAACTTATTTTCCTTTCGTGATTGTTCATATGTCCGGCGCTCACCTTGGCGCGGCGGCGGTGCCGGTGCAGGCTTCGCACAGGAAATGTAATTTTATTTGTTTGTTGTAGTGCAGGTATATTCGTAATATATGTATTTTGTGTCATCATTTATTGACATTCAAAGCTAACGGTCGTGTTTTTTGTGAGCTTCGAATTTTTTTGTTTTTGTAATAAAAGACCCCTTGGAAAGTGACAAGTTTAAAATTAATTTTAGAGGCTGACAAAGTGCTGAGACAACATTTTTTAAGAAACCGAGAGAAATCCCATCCATGTCAGACTTATAATTATCATCATAAACGTACACCACTTGATGAATATCACCGAAGGACACTGAAAAAATTCTTTGTAAAAGAAACGGAATATTATTCAATGTCTCTAGATGGTTCCAATTAATCACGGACGCAAGTTAACAAGCTTCCAGAGCAGTCCTTACACAAGAACATTATGGATACAGTTTCCTGTATCTTACGCATCGATATCATTTACTTAAGGAGAATCAAATAGAAGCACAACGGAACAAGAAGTATTAGCAATACATTGGGCAATTAACCATTTTAGACCTTACGTGTATAGGCGACACTGCCTAGTTAAAATAGACCACAGACCATTAACATTCCTCTTTTCTATGGTTAATCCAAGCTCTAAATTAACAAGAATTAGATTAGATTTGGAAAAATACGAATTTATAGTTGATTACCTTAAGGACAATTACGTTGCTGAACCGTTATCTAGAATAATCATCAAAGAACTTAACAACATGCAAAAACAAATTTTACAAGTCACTATAAGAAGTCAGTATAAACAGAATAAACCCTGCGCAGGGAAAGCACATCAAGCACATCTGCCTAGGCAGTGTGTTGAAAAAGCCCGAAATAAACGACGTCCTTAACAACTAATTTTACATTCTTTTTAAAACGTGGTAAAAAAGTTATTGCAACAATAAATGTTAGCGATGTATTTACCAATGGTACATATGATTTACATAGGTTAATTTTTCCAAAGGCTTGAAAAGAAAGCCGGTATATATGTACAAGATCAGCCGACTTAAACCTTGTCAAAAATACGACAACATTTCTATTGGAAAAACATGACTAGAGACCTAACAAACTACGTAAAGACATAACTACACATACATAAACTCCATTAACTTTAACAGAGACTGCAACCATAGATCGTAGTCACCGAACATTTAACGAATACATTCGATCCTATATATCCGTTGATAAAACAAATTGGGAGACATCGCTA